ACAGACTTTAGTACTGCTTGATGAACTTGTTAGCATACAGTGTCAAACTGATCCCCAAGGTCACTGGTGATACACCATTCAGTAAATCACTTTAACTGTCACATTTTTCTGTAAACCACAGGCTTTCATTTCAACTTACAGTTAACCTGATAAAACAGACCTTCTGCTATATATTGTCACTCTTACGACAGCATAGAGACTCCACTTTTTAGGATGGTCAGTGCTGACTGTTTTGACAAATTTATAATCATTCAAATCCTGACCGATTCACAGATACACATCATGACATTAGAATCTGCTGTATATCCACAGACTTGAATTATAAGATTCCAGCAGCCTTTCTGTGTATGAGTAACACTGCCCTCGCTATTAAAATATAACAAATGGTAGCCTGGATTTGTTTGTGAAGATTTTTAGTGAGTGAAGATTTTTTCAGTTCCTTCTCAAGTTTCCCATGTCCACAGACTCACTGGCTTCCTGGTTCCCTGAAGCATCTTGACAGTTGTCACCTCTGCAGCCCACACACCTAAACTAAATTCACTAGGGCTTGAGTTCAAAAGAGAAGGATGGTGTCCAGCAGGAGGCACATAGCACTGTGACTCTCCATTCCTAATGGATTAACAATGCAAGCTAGAGATTTTATTGTGTTTAGTTTGGTTTAATGGACAGGAACAAGCAGCCTACTATGTGGTCACCTTCCAGGTAACGTGAGACATGTCAGCTAGCCACAATGGCTACCCAACTGGTCCTCCTCACCTTCTCACCTGTAACCTTGAGGACAAAGACCAGGTTAGGGAGACCTTGATGTGGGTGTTCCTCATGGTCATCTTTCTAATAGAGAATAAACTGCTGACTGCCAATAAGGGTCACTTACCCCTCTGACCCCTGAATGGGTCGAAGGTCACAGCTCATCAAGCTCAACCTGACCTCCGGCTGAAATTGGGAGGGGGGAAGAGGGAAGGGGCTTAAATAGCTCTATTCTGTGGCACACAATCAGCAGAGATCCCAGAAGGCTCCAACAGGGCAACCCATTATGTGATTTCATCCAGCACGACTGCAGACCAGGTGGATAGGTGCTCTTTAAGTGGGGGAGGGGACTCAAGCAGGACAAACTTACTCCTCCACTCAAACCCTCTAGCCAAACCAGATACTTCAGCCTTTGCCCTCAAGTCTCAAGCTCACACTGGGCAAGTGGATTCCGATCAAGCCCTGGGAGAACCTCTGAGCATAAGTCCAATCTTCTACAAGCCAGATTCTGAGGAATTAAAGATCCAGTTTTAAAAACAAGCAGCTGTCACATGGCAAACTTTCCTACTTTGAGGGCCCTGCGATACCAGGCAGCTCATAGCTTACTGATCCCTCACCGTCACCTGGGAAAGACCCTATGGTACAACCTCCTCAATGCATGAAATACATTTAAGTGGGATATGTATAACCTGTAACTGAGGCCAGGTAAAACAGCAAATCACATTAGAAAAATGAATGACTTATGTAATCTAAAACTTTGCTATGCCTTCTTTATGACAACTACCTCCATCACAATCAATGTCACTCCAGGAAAATCTGAATATGAACATATTAATTATTTATCAGCCTCAGTATTCCACACTACAGACAACGGTACTAGCTGACACTGATAAAATTATCCCCACTACAAATACCAATTTCTTGTGCAGAACGGGTTTAGTGTGAATACACCAAAATGTTTTTTGAAAAATGCAGCAATGTTTTTCTCCATGCAGTTAGCAAGTTATCTAAGGGAGCTATTTTTTTGTGAACATTTGTCCAATTTAATGGGTGCTATACCTAATCGATTTCAATCTGAATCCACTTTAAAACCATGGAGATTGTTAAATATACAGACCCATAACCTCCAAATAAAAAAAAAAAAACACATGCGGGTGAGTAACTAATGGCCCTGGCAACTAAAAATCTACTGAATAACCTGGTCCCTTATTTTAAAAGCCAGTTGTTCTTCCAGTGCTGTACTACTGCAGCAGAACAAGTCTGCACTGGCTCAGGTCAGACAAAGGTAAAGATGGCCACCTCAAGATCTCGGGCTTCAGCTTACGACATCAGCACACGGCCCTAAGCTATTTAAAAGGAAGCCATTTGTAAAGTTCTAATTCACAAAAGAGTCCCATCCATCCATCCATTTGTGTATACACACATGACGCGTGCGTGTGTTAAAAGCACAGTAATTTGTAACGCTGTTCTGAAATGGCTAAATGAAAATGGCAAGACACAAGTTAGGTGTCACTTAAGGAACGAGCATGAATATGATCAGCCACTTTACCCATTTTAGGTGTAGTATTCAGTGTGTTAAATGTACAAAAGAATAATTGTTAAATTAGAATTGGCAAGCCCCCCACCCAATCTCCTAACATCCTCAGCAATAGGGAAGTACAGGAACTGTGGATGGGGGCAAATCACGATCCAGGTAGAAAGGGAACCCCACATCTTCATCTGCTTCACAAAGCAGTTGTTCATCGGTTTACAGCTGCCACCATAACAAGCTTAAATTCTTAAATTGCTTCCCTCCAAGTGGGTTTTTGGGGAAAGCACCTCCGCACCCAACCGGTTTGTCTGTTGTAATAAGTACATTGAGTGGCACTGGACCGAGGCGCCTTCAACTTCCTCATCCTAGGCTCCCAACTCGAGTCAAATATACACAGCACCTTACCTGCCATCAGCGATGAGGTCACTTCTGCGTTTCACTTCTTAAGAAAGAAGAATGTGTCAGAAAACATATGGAGGGAAACTGAACGAACAGAATTACCATGAAACACACAGGCCTTTACAGTCTGATCCACCTTTCCCTAATTTAGACAATACTGAGGCCTGACCGCAGTGCCAACAGGGCACTGAAAACCTTTAGCTTGAGGTTACGTGGAATGCCACCAAAACCTGTTAATTATGCTGTTATTCCATCCACTCCGCCGCCTTTCTCATTTCCTGTGCTTTCTTGGAAAACCTCCAGGCTTGCTAGATCTCAAATAAGCAGCTCTGGAAAAAGGAAGGACAACAGACTTTCCTCGTGTGTATTATAGTATAAAGCAACTTGAAATATTGATTAGTTTTTTTCAGGGACCATCTTGCCATCATCTAGGGTGTAGGTAACCTTCTGTGAAATGTCAGATATGTCAATAAAAGAATGTAAAACAAAGTGTTTGACAAAAGAATGACATTTATCAGGAAAAAGACCAGTTCTGTACTCAAAGCAAAACAAGAGCAGTTTCCTCTGACTCTACAGAAAATAGTTCAGTGTTTCTTTTTTGGGTGGAATTCCCTTTTAAAGGGGATAAAACAAGTAAACAAGAACACAGGAAGATATGTCTTGACGTCAGCTGTTAAATTACACAAGCTGTCTCACAACATCTCCAGCTCACTAGGAAGAAACTGTTTAAATAAATCAAGTACTCAGACTGGACTGGTGCTTTGTCTCCCTTCAAAAGGGAACAACCCAAATACAGGAACCTGTCCTGCACAAAAACAGTGCTCGGAACACAGATAATGCAGACAGTCAATCTGAGTCTTTCATGGGCCATTGCAACATGCTTTGTCAGCTGTCAGCTCTTTCAATCAGTTCCTGTACGTTGGACTAAAATCAGGTGATTTTTCCATGCATACAGGCATGCATGCAACCATCCATCCATGCATCACCCAACTGCTCATCATGAGACTGACCAGACTATCCTAGGCAGCTGAGGTACACCCTAGATGGAAAGGCTGTCCATCACAGGGCTCTCACACACACACATTCACATACTACAGGTACATTTTAGCTTCAGGTACCTGTGATGACCGATTATCTAAGATCTAGTGTCACAACATCCCAAACTTTGTGTGCCAATTTGTTTACCATAAAAATCCTGCAAAAATAACCAGATCAGCCAGATCAGTTCTTCATAAGCACTGATTTAATTAATTGTGCCTATTAAGGTTTTTAGAACCACATTCACTGACTTTAACAGGTGAAAATCAGAGAGAGAGAGAGAGAGAGAGAGAGAGAGGGTTCTGGATTAAGTGTAGAAGTTTCTTACACAATATTTTCAATGCCGAGTAGGACAAGAAAGCACAGAAGGGTTTTTCCCAAATGCCTTTTTAACCTTTATACCACAAATACTTCTGAGGGACTGACAATCAGCTCAATTGGTAAGAAGTCATCAGACAATATAGGCCAGTGACTTGACAGGAGTCACATACTAGACACCCTGAAGAGAACATACCAGACTAATCAACCTACATTCTGGCCTCATTCAATGCCCTTCGCCTATGATAAGTACTGTAAGGCAGCTGAAACAATAACAGAAAAACTGATATTTTTGTCCTAAGGGACATACCAGTAAGGTGAATATAATAATCCTAACAAAAATCTGGTACAAGGGTTTTGCAACATACTGTTAAAAACTATTAAAATATTATTTCAGTCAATCCAACACAGATATAACATCCACTCAATAATGCAATAGAGAATCTTAATGAACTTTGACCTAATGTTCTTGATACAAAAATAAAAATATAACAAAAGAAGGTTTTATTTGGATGGGAAGGAACCACATGTCCCTTACTAAAGCGCTCTCTTAGAGAATACTACTATACAGTATAAAGGGTAAATAACCTGCAGTGTCCCTGCAAGCCACAGTGTAAGAAGTGCATGTCTGGCTGATGCAAACACACATGCTCTGAGATAGCGACAGTTACTCAGCCCATGCAAATGAGGTTTCCACAGATGGGCAGGGAGGAGGGGCGGATGGGGGACCCCCGTCTGGCAGTTGGAGCGATCCCCAGTGCAAGTGTGAGAAGGCACTGAACAGCACCTGCTCTCACTTCCTGAAGAATCTCCTCTAAGTGAACGTCAGCGGACCGAAAACGCAGGCAAGCGATGCTTGAATAAGCCATTGCGTCACCGCGGCCGTATCGATGATGCCACCAGTGTCACTCTCACTTCAGACCAGCACTGCTCCAACTTTCACCGCCGACAAACACCAACCACGTACCTGTTACAGGGCAGATCTCTATCACCTTAGGCCCCTCGTCAGAAAAATCAGCGGCATTGTTTCTGCACTGCTTCAGAAGTCTTGGCGATGGCCCTCAACATAACCGGACTTCCTGGCAAAACCCTACAGAAGAGCAAGATGGGTGGGCGGACCCAGACAGAGATCAGTGCGACATCATGCAGGCCCAGCAGAAACTTAATGTCTAACTGCATCCAGAAGAAAGACCTGCAGACCATATGTGGCTAAAATTGAGTTATATTCAGATTTTTAAGTGAGACAGACACTTCAAATGACAGATGGAGGAATACTATGCTCCATTTTACAGAAACAGGTTGTCTCAAGTTCCCTCGTTCAGCTTGAGGCATCGAAGTCTTTCCCCCTCCACACACCCCCCGGGGACTCAGTTACTGTCTCCACAATCCAATCTCCTGCTCACCCCACCTGTCCGTATGCGCACCCCCACCACCCCATAAATCACTCTTGTTGGCTCACCTGTCCAGCACCTGAAGCGCTTCATTCCCGTATAATGCGTGAACTTACGAACTTTCAGCAGCTCGCGTCTCCAAAAGCTATGACCTTTTTTTTTTTTTTAACAGCCTTGCAATCAATCATTCGTGCCCAGAAATTAATATATTCGCGACAATTTAGGGCCATATTTATCTTTGTACTGACGCCAAACGCATGAGGTTTCTGAGGCACCTGGGTGAAATCGACGCCATGAAACGTAAACCGCGATCTGGCCCAAGTCACCTTGGTCAGAGAGAAATATTTGACTTAGGTGCTGTAAATGTAAATGTTTCCCGCCAAAAAGTCACCATGGACGCATCCTTATCATTCAGTAAATGCCAATAAATCAATACCAGTACAATGTGTCGTTGCTCAGTTTTATGGTCTCAGTGTAACTGAGATTTACATTTTAAGTAACACACATGATTAGCCATGTGCAGACTCAAGTTTTCGGCTGCAGAGGCTGGGGTCGCCCAAAGTGGTGACACTTGTTGGATTAATCTTAAATACGTTTATTACCGTGTTTCGTTTCAAAGTTTCACAAGCTGTCAACTGGAATTTATGATCAACACTTTACCGACATGGACACCGAGCTCTGCTTTAGGTCGAAAATAAGTCACATATTGGGGTATTTATTTAAGCAGTATCTGTTCCATTCTTTTACAACGTAGAATTGCGCAACATTAGCATTGTAAAAAAAAAAACAAAAAAAAACCATTTTTTAAGCTTCATCAAATGCTGTAAGATGCTAATTGTTATTCCGGGGACAAGATATGCTCTGATTATATATTTGACTTCTCAATCTTAACTAAGCACGGTCCATTGCCATTGACGCTTTTCAAAACTGCGCCGACTGAACTCTGCATTTCGTTACCTACGTTTTCGTGGGAAACACACGCGCGCGCCGCCGGTGGGTTCAGTGAACAAAAGGAACATAGACGGCGCCTGCGCAAGCGTAGAATCGCTTTTAAAATTGGCTAGTTAAAAATAGAAAATTGTTTTATGATTAGTTTTACCTCGTAACTCAGTTTTGACAGTCATACAACCTGTAGTAATCGTTTTATCGCAAAAAAGGCATTGGCGTCAAACGTCAAAAACGTCGGTCAATGAATTTTACTTAATATAACGTATGACACGTATGAACAATAGCTATTTAATGACTTCTCAGCCACCATTACCCTTCTGTTTTATTAGCTATAGATGCAATGTGACATCTTCACTCGTGGTTACCCTGCGGTTAAGCGTTTTTTTCCAAGAATCAGTAAACTATATATGATGTTTGAGAGTGAGAAAATAAGCTGCCGTGGTTTCTCACACCACACAGTGATAGGTAAACAACCCACAGTTTTTTTCCCCATAATTTTTTATCAATAAAGTCATCTTTGTTACATTTCGTCAGCCTCGCAATTTTTTATATACAAAAAGGTGAAATATGGCATATGCCTTAATATTTCCGTGAGTGACACATTAACAAGGACATAGGTGCTGTGAAGGTGATCTCATTCAAATTGAGCTGTGGCTCCCAGTGACAGGTTGTCATCTTCAGAAATTAGCTTCAAAGGCTGTGAAGTCCGGCTACTTTTCATTAGAAAACTACTGCAGCACCAGAACTTGCCATGTTCTGTACTACATCTCCTGTGTTATTTGTGCAGATGAGCAGGAGGTGTGGCCAAGCAGTAGGAAGAGGTGTGTCCACTGTGGCATGTTTGGTGACCCTGCAGTGCTAAAGAGCAGCACAACTGCTGATATCAGCAATTCAGCTGAGCAAAGCTGTGAGCTCTACACAAACATGATGGAGAAAAGAGAAGTGCGTCAGCAACAAAGTGTTCGCTCACCAGCTGTACCTGTCTGTACCTTAAGCTGATCCTCATATGTGTTTGGACTCTCTCTTGGTCTGGAGAAATGAGATGAGGAAATAGCTAATCGCTGCTGAGAGCTTAGTCTTGACGTGCTCTCAGTATGGAAAGAGGCACATCATCAAACTTGATGAATCAAGTGAAGTGGCATTTATGTAATGTCACAGCATTTGATATGGTGTCCTGCATGAACTCCGCATCAGTATTCATTGCCTGCCTGAATGTGAGGTCCCATATCTGCTGCAAAATGATAGCACATCTTCAGCTAGCCCGGCACAGCTGTTCTGGCCTTTGACTTTTGAGCCACTAATTCATGGGATTTCAGCATACTACAATGGTTTATATTGAGTATTTCTAATTTTGAAACTGAAAACCATCACAAAGGCATTGGTCTATTAGGGGAAGTGAACTCCGCTGTGATCTTCTGTAAAGCAGAAATCAGTGCTCACCTTTTGATCACTCATACTGCCTCAATGAAAATGTAATCACGGGAAACCAAGCAGAGTCCCTGTGTTATCCTGCATTCATGTGAATGTATTTTCTGGACTCTTTTACCCACTGTCCTAAATCCTCCTGCTCACCAGTGGACCAGATGGCTTGTTCAGTGCCTCATGTCGGAGGGAGACATCACACAGAATACATGGAGCAGACACATCATAAGCAGTGGAAAAATAATATTACCCCCAGGGGTGTAATGATGCAAATTAACAATTGCCAAACGTAACACAATATGGTGAATTCCTGAAGCAGGGATGCCATTTACAAAACGATCTCTCTGTCTCCATGGTGATGAGTCACAGTTGACGGGGAATGCTCACATCCGGAAGACAGATCCTAAAATTTTCAAGATATCAGTGACCACATAGAAATTAATTCCTACAAACACACAGTAATGGCAGCCTGAACAACCAACACTCTGCATATGCAAAGCACTTCCAAATTTACTGACTGGTTTGCATGGACTTGCATCCCTCTACACCCTGGACTGACATTTTCATGTCATCACCTAACTGATCATTTTCAGCTACTTCTGCTACTTTCAGCCAAGAAAAACAAAAGGACTTTTACCAAGTTTTCTTTGTTTGATTTAACCCTTTTCAGTCGGCTTTAATGTCAATAATACACACCAACACCCAGTCTTCAAAAACAAATATTCACAATATATTTTCTCATCCCATTTGCATCTAACACAATATATATGTTTAAATCAATCTGAATAAATATTAAAAAAAAAACAATGTAATGTTGTCATTTTTCATTTGGTTTAATAATAAATTAAGTATTATGGTTTGAGAAATATGATTATGCAGAGTTATGGTCTTTCACTTTTTACATTTGTTCAAACTACTTCCAGCTCATCTCTGCCTGCTACCCACCATAAATAGGACTTACCCAAAGAATTATTATTAAAAGAAAAAAAAAACAAAAAACAATTGTGCATCAAAATGTCCTTCACTAACCAATGTGTCTCCAGGTATAATGGATTATTTTCTCAAATTGATTTGGGCAGAAAAATCCAATATTCACAGTGATATACATGGAAGGGAGCACAGTGCTGAACTGGGGCATGCAGGATGCGAAACCTCCCAAAGTGTCACTGTTTATTTCTGTACTTCCTGTCAGTGGGGTGATGGGTCTGTTGCAGTGCATGCTGGGTAAATATGAACCATGAGTGAAACATCACACACCACACAAACCAGAGTAAGTGTTTTTTTTTTACCTTAAGAAGCTAATACAGTGTCAACAGAATTTTAACTAGTTTATTTTTTCAAAAGAAAGAGAAAAATATTACGAAACAAAATGCAGTCTTTTTTACACTAGCAGTTATTAAATTTTTTACAACCATTCAGCTTGTGTGACATACAGAAATAATTCTACATCTTTGTTTCATATTTTTGGTACTCTTAATTATACATACAAATAACAAATACATGGAACTTTTTTCACAATGCATATAATCTGTGAGCTGGAAAAATGTCTTTCGATAGGTGTGTGTACATGCGTGTGTGTTTGTGTGTGTCAAACCATCATACCAAATGGAAATTCCTGCCATTGACATAATTTGCCTGCCTGGCAGTTTTAATGCATCGAGGAGCCTTTGGCGAGTGAATGGGGGGGTGTGTCTACTGCCTGCAGGCCTCCCCACCTCTCTGTGCTGGATGGATCCCCCTGGTGCCCCGACTCGTACCCTTCTCATCGTTGCCGCCCATAGGCATATTTTAATTAACAAGTCTTCGTTAAATAGGCCGTATTTCATACAATTTGTACAAATATATTCAGAGTTCACAGCACGAGGGATTCCTGTTTCACAGGTTCTGGAAAAAAGCCTACTTAAGACTGTGAAGTTTTCTTTTAGGCTCGGAGTATCTCTTTCAGATAATAGCTTCTGCACGGAGATTAAATCCCGATTCAGCTGTTGGGCGAACGCTTGAGAGTCTCACAAGACAAGCTCCTTCCATCCCTCCTCTCAAGTAGGACAACCCAATGGTCCTCAAAAAAAAGGGGGGGGGGGGGCAAACATTCAGTCTACCGGGCCCTCAGGTCCAATGATGTGCCCCTCACGTTTTAAAAAGAAAAGAGAAGTCTCTCGTCTTCAGAGGAGGAAAAGAGGGCATAGGTGGGCGTGGCCTTGGTAGAGTGGGCGTGTCTAGCCCATAGCTGTAACCATACTGGAGGGGTGATGAGGAGCGAAGGGCAGGCTGGAAGAAGGGTGCATGGGCGTGGGGGTGCTAAGCATGTGACCTGAGTGGGAGAAGGGCGGGAAGACGCTGTGCCTGGACAGAGCTGCGGGACTGAAGGAGCTTCCTTTGTCCATGAAGTTCTTGGAGAACTCATCCATGCTGTCCTGTGACTTTTTGCTCTTCTTTGACTTGCTGGACATCTTTCTGTTCCTGGTTTGAATGCCCTCCTTCTTCATGGTCAGGGGGCGATTGATCTGCCAGGAGAGAGGAGAGAAGACACAAACACATTGGCTAAGGTGGGTCACACAAGCAAACAAATGCATTATTAGATTGTGGTATGTAATTAAATATGCCAGTTCTATCTTGGCCCCAAGAGTCACATTAGTGTTTAACACATACATACTATTGTTAAATATTAAGAAACTCGCTAAAATGCAGCACTATTATGAAAAACAATAACCTGAGTTGATAAGCAGGGCTCACCACAAATCATAGACTTTCAGTCTCAATGTTTTTGGTTCCTTGTGGAGTTAAAAAAAAAACGGGAGAGCTGTCGCAGAATAGTTTCCGATTTCATAAGGGGCACCAATGATATGTAATACAGCTGGGTTACAGAATAATTTTCTGTGTTCCATTGTGAAGAGGCTGATTTCTACATGTCAGGTCGCATCGACGCCTGGCAGGATTTAGGCGCGGATTCCTCAATCCTGGGCCAAATCTGGCAGCGGCGCCACGCCAGGCCAGCCTCCAAGGCCTTGGCCAAGCAGCGGACCGGGACGGTCCGGGCCACACCAGTGCCCTGGCCACACCAGCTATCTCCTTGCTTGCAGGCTCTTCCGGCTACATTTCCATTGAGCCAACATGGAGACCTTTTTCCTGATCTGCTTGATTTTGCACATCATAGGTAGCAGGACACTAGTGGCCAAAATTGTGGAAACACTTTCGGTTTTTAGAGATCGCAGAACTTTATTCGAATGTCCGTTCATAAACTTTACCACAAATATTTGTGTAGTAGTTTTCAAAACGCAATACCAAAAATGCTAGATGTTTCTGGGGGGCGGGGGCGGGGTGGGGGGGGGTGTTCTACCTTTGTTAGGTATTTAGTCACATGTGGCTTGTTATGTCCAAATGACTGACACATGCTAACAACGTCTGTGTCTTTCGTAGCGTGACATCACAGTGCCTCTCTGCTGACATATCCAGTCATACCTGAGCATGTCAGAGACGGACTTTAGTCTGTAGCATTTCAGACGCTGAATCATCAGCCAGTGGAACTCAAGAGCCACCAAAACGGGACAAGTCACACAGCCAACTGGGTACATGGGACAATGGATGCTGCACTGGCTGACCCCGCGCCAAACTTCTGATGACTTGACGCCGGTGATTAGGAAAATCAGGCATGGACGGTATGCCTGAACATTAGGAGTTCGGAAAGTGTCCGATTAAATTGGCACTAATCCTCAACACACAACGATATTCATGTACATGATCATGGCCATAATTTACAATCCATTGCTGAACAAATCAATATGTGCAACACAGAAATGATGGCCAGTGTGAAATATATGCTATCAAATGAGAATTTCTTATAATAAGGCTCCTACATAAGGTGAATATGAAATTAGCTAATGACACTATTAATTATATGTTTCTCTTGGGTTTTGAAGCATTTCAGGAGCTTTGAACGCTAGATCTTTACGCTGATAACCTCAACGTCCTTACTTGGTAGCTTTAGTGTTACGAGGGATTACGGAAAAAAGCGTAATGTAGCTATAATTATATAGTGCTATTTGAGTAATAATGATGATGACTGACCCAGGAACATTCTCTGGGAGGAATTAAAAACATGATATGGGTACTTTTAGAAGTTGTGGGGTAAATGCGACGTGGTTAAAGGTCAACCGTTTAAGTCCCTGAACAATTGGTTCTTATCAGTAGTCAAATCTGGGACTGTGGAGGGAAGCTAAATGTTGTGGAAAGAGCGATTTACACAAAATCAGAAACAAAACACACACACACACTGCAACATGCACTGCAGTGTCACTGCACGATAATGGCGGTAAGGCAGCTCACATTGTGCAGTTTGTAATAAAGCCCGCAGGCATTGCACACAGGGTCTCCGTTGGCATTTCGTCGCCACAATGTGGTCGTGGTCGTCTGACAGTTTGCGCATGATGTTCCTGCCCTTCTTGCGGCCGACTGGAGAGACAGAAAAAAAAACATACTTGCGTTAAGTGGAGGCTTTAAAGACTGCATACACATTTTTACATATTTAGGTGTAAAAACTTTAAGCATTGCGGATAATAGACATTTTTTAAGGCAGAAAAAGCTAGAACATTCAAAACCTTTTAAGCCTATATAAAAATACAGTTTGAGTATATGCCTTCTCAAAATGACATATTCACAGAAGACACTAAACAAACGAAATGCCCCATATATCATGTATATTCTACATTATGCCTGCTTTCCGTGAATGTGACACCACAGTATCAATGTCAGTAAAATACAGTAACCAAAACATATACAAAAAAAATCCTACTTTGCGAAATAACTATCAGTTGACAACATTAGCCAGTGTAAGAAAATGCATTCAATAACAAACGGAATAATTTTGAACAAACTTAGGAACACAACCATGATCGTTTTAGATGTCATAACGAACTGTGGAACTTAGGCTAAATATTAGGACGGCAGCTGAGAAAAAAAAAGTATTTATCGATGTCCGTGACAACTTCAGAATCTCCACGTGCCAAACTATGAAACTGGCATTATCTGCTTCCAGAACAGGTCGCCAGGGTTGTAAAAATGATCATCTCTCGTCATTGACTTATTCGTGTCCATTGTTCCTCGTTGTTTTCCGCGTCTCCAAGCTATTTTTATTGTCTCTTTACCCCCGTGCGTTATGGGGATTCTGCTGGGATTGCCTCTAGTCTGGGACAAGAACAGTCCATAGCCGTCACCTGGGACATGCTGTGATTTGTTGCCCGGTTCCCTTCATGTTTAGGCTACGAAGCGGGGCATGTTGTTCGCCACCACTTATCTGCGCCGCTCACGTTTCCGCCAGCTTTTTCCTAGGAAGTCGGGTTTTCACATTAGAGAAAAGCGCGGCCAAAACAGCCGCCCCGAAAGCGACTCCCCGCCTAGAAAGCGGCTCTTTTTACCGTGACACTGAGTTGGGAATTCCTTTTTGCTTCGGTCACTGTGACTGCGGGTTTATTAAAGAGAGATGACTAAATAGGAAATATATTCTGTACACCAGAAAATTCCGCGATAATATACTAAACGTGTGCCCGGTGTATTAAAGGAAATCTAAAGGCGCAGCTTCAGTCTCCGTGAAATATGCACAAGAATAACGGCAAAATTATTTATTAATTTAAATATTTGCATAAAACCCGGAGTTCCAGGTAATCTAGAAAAAAACCCGCAGAGAGCATCTACCGTAATACTCATGATAAACGGAATATATATCAGAGCATAATAAATAAAAACAACAACTATAGTAGGTCACTGATAGTCGCTGTATAATATGTGCAAAACAAAAAAAATGGCAAGTGGGCAAATACTGCAGAACGAAAAGAACTGCAGGACTTAATCTGAAAGCAATGAGACCTGTGCTTGGCGAGTCAATTTCTTGCAGCTAAAACTTCTTCCTAGGCAGAGAAAGAGAAAGAGATAGAGTATGATCAATAGGAGCGTCCGAGACGTACCAGTCTTCGCTTGGGTTTGATGAGGGGGCGATTCTGCCCGTTCATCTTGTGATAGAGTCCACACGCGTTACACAAATAGTGACCCGTGCCATCACGCCTCCACAAAGGGGTCGAAGTGGCTCCACAGTTAACGCACTCTCTGCCTTCTGAAATAATAATAATAATAATAATAATAACAATAATAATAAGAAGAAGAATAAAGGAAACAGCAGAAAGAAAAAAATAAAACAATTGCATTGTTAATAATAGTGACGATGATGATGATAATGACAAAAGCACTGTCACACGTTTTTGCATTTAACAATGTTGTTTTCCATGCCGAACATGAAGAATTTCAGGAAAAAAACAGCCCCACATTCATACGTCACACGCCAGAATAAACGGGTCACTTTCACGCTGTTCTTTCCCACAGTCCAGAGTCACCCGCGAGGATTTAAACCTCTTTACATACCGTCATCCAATTAACAGATTTATATTCAAAACCCATTGAATATTCTACTATGCTCAGTGTCTGAACGAAATTCAGAAATTCAAAATCCACTTAAATCAAGCATGGGATTCACAGATGCAGAGAATAATTTATATTGTAGGCCTACTAGGCTACTACCAATAATGATGATGATGATGATGATAATAAATAATAATAATAATATGATTCATCTGTTTGTTTTTATAAGTCAAAAGAAAGAACTTATTCTTAGTTTGCATTAAGTTTATTTAAGGCTTCTGTGGTATCATGTAATTTTTTAGGACGACTTTTACAAAAATGTCTTGTTAGTTTACCTGGGCGTTCGTCTGTCAAATGTTTTAATTAAAGTGTGTGTTATTAGTAGGCCCGTTACCGCACCAATGGAATCGAAAGGACAGAGCTGAGTGGCTCTCCTTCGCACTAGCAAGGCGCACTCACCGAATGCTTTGTCAAACGTCGAGCCAGCACGCATGCGCCCCGAGACGGCAGATTATTAACTTTTTCATTCTCTAAAAAAACTTGACACATTTCCCTCATCGGCTACCAAGAGAGATGCGTGCATCACAGGTGAGTTTCACGACACAAAACCAAACACTACACATTCCTTCAAGGCCAAGTGTTAAAAAAAAAACTACTACGGGTTTTGTGTTGTGCAGATTTTAGTTCCGGCTTCGTAGACCACAAAGGCAGTCTACTACCTTTTGAATCATTTCTTTTCTAGTGCAGAAGACATTACCACAAACGGCCTGTTTAGGGAAAAATGTGTTTTAAATATAATGTAACGAAATGAAAAAATAATTTATCGCAGAAAATCATGCAACTTGATGTTTAATTAAGGCATTATGATAAATACATAGGCCTTTATACGTTTCTAAAATAATTTTAATTTCAATCAGGTTATTGTTTTTAACCGTAAGAAAGTAGGCCTAATTAAATGTCGTTTTCCGAATAAACTGCAAACATATCGTTTATTTTAAATGACATTTCGCCCGGAGTAATAATTGAACTACCATTAGGGTAATTACACATAAAATGTTTGCATAATGTTTTGTTTAGGCGGCCATACTTCTGCCATGACTAGTTGCTATTGGTTATTCCCTGCAACACAGCTCGCATCCGCACTCCATGAAAGTTTCTGGCGCTGCGCGAACAATGCAACTGTCGCGTGCAGCAGTCTGAAAATAATTGGATTAGCCTAAACACATAAACGAAACAGAGCCGGGGAAGGAGAGTCAACGTGGGGGAGAAAATGAAAACCCAGAACGGATCTCTGCTGATGCTACTATAAAAACATTCCTATTTCTTTCTAGAAAATGGTGCTTTCCGGGGGACAGCCGTCATTATATTTAGTTATTAGTGGAATTGGTGCAGGCCTCGATACTTTTAAATCACTATAATAAACATGAAAATATGGGCCTATGTATATATTTTTTAAAGTTAAATGTATTAAATGTATAATGAATTCTTAATTTAATTCATATTAAAAAATATAAATCATGAATTGCACTACAAAGGATGTTATAGTTACAGGATTTAAGACAAAATCTAATGATTTAAAGATTTTAATGCGTTGCCTGAGAGACATTATTAGTGCTAATATGAAGATTGCACATAGCCCGTTATTGCCTAACACACTACCGTTTATGGTTATTAAAGTAAACGATACGTGTTTTCGTGTGGTGACAAAGAAAATATATTTTTTTGTTTTCCTCCGTTATAATCCATTATGATCTATACAGGGCTGCGGTTTAATTTATATAATGCAAAGGGTGTTGTGAGTTGGGGAAAAAACAAATGCAAATGTTTTGGTACGGGCACAGAAAATAACCTTTAACACAACCTACATAAAGACACCAGTTTCCAACAGTGTTAGAAAAAAATCGAAGAAATTCGAAACTAGCCTACCTGAAGATGACCTTGTTTTTGGTCTTGCTTTGGAAGCGTAACTGGAAGGCGACCCGCCAATCAGGCTACTTGGTGGGAAGAGGCTTGCTGGGGCGTATTCGGGGACGTAAGACGGGTAAGTGGGGATGGGATGGTGAGCGGAAGAGGCTCCCGCCCCGATGGAGGCCATGCTTCGGTTGTGGGCTGACTCCAGCTTCATGCTCTCAGCCAGGGATACTTGGTATTTTATGCACTCTTTTTCCTCCTGGCGATTTGAGCTGCCTGAGTTAGGGGTCGATATACTCGGATCTGGCGAGACGTCTTTAGGGGGGGTCGGGGGGAAGGTGAAGAGGTGCGGACTGGAGTGTCCCCCCGACAAGGAGGACGATGATGCCGGTGGGTAGACCGAGAGTGCTCCCGGGGAGCCGTGATGCAGCGGGTTCTTGGGAAAGTGGCCCAGGTTCCATGGGGAGGCGCCTGGGTGCGAGCCGAGGGTTTTGCCGCTGTCCAGCCAAGGCAACGAGCCGTGAAGGAGGGGGGGGCGACAGACCTGACTACCTGGGGACGCAAGATTGGGAAAAAAATTGCACCACGCTTCATGACTTTTTTTTTTTGTATTTCTGACTGACGAAGTGTATTCATGTTTCCATTACTGGTGGTTAATCATGTTAAACATTTCTGAAAAAAAATAAAGATGGAATGAACCGAGTGTCCTTAAAAATACGAAGCTACCTTGTTTTGATGTTTTGAGTCATGTTTGGTTTAAGAATAGGGTTCGTTTATTGAAAAGACGAAGGATAAATTGCTACGATAACCCACATGTGTGACTTTCCGTCTATTATGCGCCTACATGTTTGGCTACTCTTGCGATACATTTCTCGCATATGTGTAATAAATAAATATTTTTAAAACACTCAAGAAAATATCAAGCGTTCACCCATTTTTGTCCAGGCGTGTTATGATTATTAAGAATGCGTACAATGGTACCATTTTTACACGTCGCCGTCTATGTTTTCGATGAACAGACTCGTTACGAAAGTCCTGGCATTTACAAAATTAATAAACACGCAATCAATGATAAACTAAAAAGGTATTTAACAGCCGAAGGAAATATGTAAAGCTACTACATCGGATAATGGACCGTTTTTCCACTTCAGCCCGTGCTACTTAATAGAAAGCAGGATGAAATCCTCTTTGCATCGCTCGTGCAGCAAGTTCTCACCGAATACCGAAAGTGAATTTTAGCACGCAAGCCGGTAAGAGAAACAGGGTCATCATTCTCAATTCCGTTCAGGAAGTAAAGTAAATAAATTCAAGCAATCGCTCTTCCGTAGTGTTCTTGCTCATTTATAGTTCTGTGTGTTACTACACTTTGCAGATATACATCGCATTGCAGCGTAGCAACAGCACATTAAAACGCAAAACCTGAATTTGCGAAGTGTACATTTTCCCGCTTGTGACATGTAATAATTTCAGTTATATTCATATCTTTATCAAAAATGTTTAAATGGGCAGACCTTTGTCTTCCCCGAAAAATCGAGGGCTGTTAAGTTTCACGGGTTCGCTTAAATGTGCCTTGTTTCTTACGTCGGAGTTTCCCGCATATTATATTCTAATTACCAAAACCCACCGCCAACTAAACCATTTACCTTGATGGTGTTTTTAAACGTAAAAATGACAGAACACTGGAAAGTTATGAAACCAGTGTTGAGTCGTCAACGGTAACCCACATCTAAACGACAGTGGTAAGGTTTCAAAATACCGTGGAGCTTATATGCTTTTCGTCTGCAACAAACAAAACTGACAACTTTGCTCTGAGCTGTAGAGACAAATAGTAAACTGAAAGGACAACGGTCTTCGCCGCTAAATTAGATCTAAATTTAATCTTTAGAAGCAGAAAAATATTAAATGTATATAGGCGTACGCATTAACAACATTTGATTTGACTTGCGTCAGGCGCAACTTACTGTGAGGGGGAGGTGGATACCTCTGGACGGCTCTGACTGTGTTTCCGTAGTACGAAGAGACGTGGTTGTTCTGCCCGTCGATATTAAACAGTACATCCACATCATCCGGGAGAGGATACTGCGAGGGGTCCATGTATGAGTGGCCGAGGCCCGGATGGTGCGAGTCAGGGTGCTGACCGTTCAGTACCCCAGGGTGATGATGGCTCATCCACCGAGGCTGATCCGCGGTTACTTCCATTGTCAATTAAACATGCGCACAAAAATGATCGAATATAACGCAGTTCGAAAAGGAAGAAAGTATGTGTCCGATGTCCTGTGATATTAAATCCACAGGTGTCTTCTCTATTCAGATAAATATCTGTCGATCACCTGAAAACAAAAGGAATAAATTAAATCGGGCACAATGCACTTTATTTCTTATTATTTAACGCTAGCTACATAATACACATGTATCTTGTTTGAATAACCATAGAAAAAAAATGGCATACATTGAGACATGGTCGCACTCCTACGCTTTCGTATCTATGTCCACAGTCTTTTCCAATTCCACATTGAGGTTCTCTGCTTTTCCCCTACAGTTTCGGTATTGAGTAGAAGAGGCAACAAGTGGTTGCGCGTGTTCAGAATCGATCTCGCTCGCCCGAAGATGGGTTACCGCAAACTGGACCAAAGCGAATTTAAAACTCAAAGATCAAATCTGTATTAAGCAGCAACAGCAGCTCTCTCCGTCTTACTCTTACTCCATCGCTCTTTCTCTCTTTATTTTTACAGTGAAGGCATTCTTTCAGGATGGCGCCAGGCAGCTCAATGGTTGCAGACAGCTGTGGCGCGACGCAACTTAAGGAGGGTCCCGCTAGTGTCATCGGCATGGGAGGGGCCAGACCAGCGCGGTCTGACTCCTAGTTAAACGCCAGCAATAATTACAAATATTTCGCCGTCTTCTCTATATACTCCACGTGTTTACATTAATGGCTATAAATAAAGAATACACGTATCTCCGGTCAAGATTGCCCGAGTATGCCGTATCGCCATTCATCAGCACGAGACTGGGAAATAGTAGGAAAGACGCGGCATCCCTCGGGGGCCGCTCCGTGCAGTCCGCGTGAGTATTGTTCACCTTTACCTGAAGCGAAACGCATCAGCATGAAGTGACGATCGCCGTCGTTTTGCATTACAAATATATCTGTGTTAAAACGAAACTTAAAGTTTCTAATTAAAATGCGAATGAAATCCCGGAGAAGGTCAGGGAGACTCGGGGCCGCCTTTGGTCCTTACAATTTTCTATGTAATAAATAAAGGCGAAATGTTGTTCGGTTGCAAAATCTCAGGCAGGCCAGGACACGACTCTTCTCTTAAAACTGTGACAGTGCGTCCTCTCGCGGTGACGGACTTGTAATATGTGACATCCCGTTTCACGTCTTGATTTGTGTACTCAGAGTATACGGCAGAAATGTCTCTGGCGCCGATTTGCTTCTTTTAAATTAGATAAATCCTTAAGAGCGTTTTCATGTTTTCAAAATTACAATTTTCTCTTTCCTCTGAAAATATACTTTTGGTGGAAGGTTGCGTTATGACCAATAAACTTCATTCAAGGTAACATAAGGGTCTTTACCTCGCAGAGTTGATATGTGCGTAAAATAACCGTAACTGATGAAAATGTATTTATCCTGACACATTTGACTGTACTGAATCTCATCTGCCAAAGTCAGGTAGGCATATTGTCTTGTACTCCTGTATTATTCCACTTGATTGCTCGGTAATAGGGGGGCTGCCCTGTGGGGTGGTATTCAGTGTCTAATTCCCAGTTTGGCTGCCTCGTGCTTCCAGATTGACAGTATGCAATTGGGGAAGAGGGGGCTGCTCTTTTGATACTATGCAATGCGCTGAAATGGCCAGCCTCACCGACGCCACTGGATGTGACGTCAACATCCCATTAAACGGCCAGGAAACGAATTTTTGTGCTCCTTGGAGGAGGGATGAAGTACGTGCGCGCGCTCAAATTAGACACAAGTGTTTGTAAATACCTAGAATTATTTATATTCTTTAGTAACGGTATCTTCGGGGATGACAGTTTACTGACATTATTTCATTACACTTTCAATTTATAACGATAATCTATATAGCCGTTTTTAGAAGTGAAGGAGAACAAACGCGTAATTTGTTATACATTTTGAAATTATGTCACAGTAAATTAACGTGTTTAATATAATAGAAACATCAGTATTTGGTTATATACATGTCGTCCGATAAGTACAATATGCGAACACATTTCAGAAATGGTTTATGTCCTAAACAGGTGAGTTTTGAACAGAGTTGTGTATTTAAATCATTCGCGGTGCATTTATTTTTTGGGGTGGTCCTCAGAATGACTGTTCGGAACAGACGCAAATGTCTTGTGCATTGCCCTACTTAAACTTAATTTACCTGAGGTATACACGTAGCTTTTACGCCTCTCTGTAACCGCACACGGGCACAAACTGTGTATGTATTGTGTGAGAAAAAAAAGAAAAGCAAATATGCTGAGTTGGCGTAACCTTTTCCTCCCCAGAATACGCAGAAATAACTTCTTGACTCAGACGAACCTAAACCGGAGCGCCGATGGAAACAGTTGTACTGCCGCGGACAGAACAATCCCGCTCCCTCGGTCATGCTGTCGTGCGTGATTATCCTTTAGAAAAGTATTGTGCGCTTCGTCACACAAATTTGCATTATAGGTGCTCGCAGGCAGCGCACGACGATAAATAGGTCTATAGAATGTTATTTTTGACTGGCGGTTTCAAGTTTAAAGAATATGGAAGGCACTCCAGAGGCCGAATCCCTTCATGCTCCCATGTCTGTGAAACGGGAGCTCATTCTTCAGCGAGGAAATGGATGTTCCTTAAAAATTACATTTGAATTTCTCCCACTATACAAAACAACAGAAAAACGGAACGGAGGTCGCACGGAGGCAAACACATTACACTCTGCGAGATAATTAATAAACAGTTTATTCCCCTTCAAAATAATATGCGCAGAGAAAGCCACAGAGAACCCGTATCAATTTTTGCCTCGAGGCCAATAAGTGATAACGTAAATGGCTAACCGCGTGCATAATAATACCTGTGCACGACAGTACAGTTCTCCGTTGGTAGCTTTAGACTGTGCAGGTATTTTTTGAACGACTCTGCAAGGGAGCACTGATTAAAATCTGTATAGATTTCAGTGTGGGTTCAAATAGTAGACGCTGCCGTGTATTTTACTTAAACAGTAGATGTGCTTGAAATATCGTGTCATTGTTCGTGTTACACGTCAGGTCCCACTCCCAAATTAGATTAAACTGATTAACAGATAAAATAACGTTATAAAACAACAAGCTAATCTTTAATGTATGCTGCTCTGATGATCCAAGCACCACAGCGAAAAGAGGGTAAAAGCAACCCGTGGACTGTCTGTTCTGGTTTTACCTAGCTTGTACATGAACGATCCTTTAATTAAGGAGACAGTGGGTTTAATTTAATGGTTTTTCATTTTCACTTTTATTTTAGTACCCCGGCTAGGCTTCTGCAAACAGGCACAGGATAAATACCAGAGAGCTGACCAAAGGACACGACCCGCGGCTGCTCGCGAATTACCTCGTGCAACAGAGACTTCATCCGGCATACGATGTTATTTTGAGACAGATTAAAAAATATTTTTCATGTATATGATTAAATTTATGAATGAAGGAATATTATGCTTTTTTGCAGTTCACGGTTTACAGAGTGAAATGTAAGGAGAAATGTATTTCGAAAGGATGAATTTAATGTAATTTATGTTACAGGACTAGTAAATGCTATGCATTTGTGCGTGAGAATTTTAATTAAATACGACTGATTAAATATGAAACAATTTTATATAAATGTTTTTTTTCTCATTTCCGCCTTACACTGGACAAATAGAATGCAATAATTACAACTACAACGAAGAGTAGCATACAGCAAACGCTACTGTTTCACTTACAGGTATAAACCGTTGGTAAATGTAACGACTTATTCGGGCATATATGAGTAATATATCTAGGTTTTGCAAGTCCTTTCAAGAATAAGTCAGAGTAGGTCTTTTTTTTTTGCTGAAGGTGATGAATAAAGAAATTATTTGGGCACACAAGATTCTTAGAATTTTAGTGGGGGCGTACATTTGTGTACGGGCCCCTGAGAGTCGAAATGATGTGTGCTTCTTAGAATGATCAAAACTTGACACTTTGGCTAGGGATGTTTTTATCGTACTTTTTTTTTCTTTTACAGTTCCGAAAGCCGAATGAAAAATTACGAATCGGTCTGCTAACTGGTGCGCCCCTTACCCACAGAGAGAAAGTGATGATGCTGAGAGAGGCCATTTTTCCAGCGCTTAACCGACAACATCTGATAAACAAGACCTAAGATATTTCAGCGTATAAAGAGATTTCACACTGTTTTGGATGTATCAATGGCGAAATAGGCTACGTGTGTTCTGAATGAAAATACAACTTCAATTCCAGGATAAATTTACTGTAATCTACAAATGTAACCTGTTACCATTCCGCCATAGAAAATGACGATGATACGCATAACTGATGACACCCAGCGTAAATTAAATAAAAATGAATATTTACGTAGCCTCTTTGATTTAAAATTCAGCAGCAATTTTCAGCGTACATTTAAAAGCACGGTCCAGTGATTGATTCATTAATTAATTAACCGTCGAGTGGCACCATTGCAGCATGATCTCTTAAACACATCTTTGTTTCGATCACTGCCAGACAGGGCGCTTCCGTCCTCCCTGGAAGCCAAAAACACTGTCCCCTCATGTAACCTTTTATTTTCATTTTCCACTTATAAAAAATCAGCCAATATCAGCCACACACATATTAAAAGCTGGGAACGCGGCTTTAACACACCCGACTCGTTTAGGGCTCATTGCGGGCTAATCTGATCAATTTCATGGTTTACGGGCTCAACCCACCGCCAACCTAGGTGGTAATAGATCATTAAACAGCCTTCGGAAATCTTCGGTATTTCGGGGAAAGTGATGTAGGTAAATTACACTTTGAAAGGCTAGCCAGTGTGTCTGTTAAAATAAATCCCACACCAATTTCGGAAAGTGTACGTGAGAGAAACAGAACTACAGCGATAGCACTAAAATAAATAGGAGCTGCGGCCAAATTAATTGGCACAGAACCTTTGCCTTTTAAGTAATTTCCATATGGCTTTTGAGTATTAGTATTTGAGACACGGTAAACCGATCGATAGTTTTAAAAAAGCATTAGTCACCGAACACAACGATTTCTGCACATCACAATTCTGCCTGTCGACAATGAAAATCTAACACATTCGGGTAAAATAATCGAAAATAAACTGTACGCCCCATCTTTTTGCAAAAATCCGTTTCTATTTATTTATACATCAGTTTCACTCGAAATTTTAAATTTATCTTTAAACGCAAACAAAATGTATAGATCAGAGACTACAATGAGGGACAGAAAGGGATTGTTTTTTAAAGGATGCAAAAGACAAGCTGCATATATACACAAATCACACAGGCACGAGAAGAAACGCCTAAATATTTACTGACCTGCAAAGATCAGGCTGGTTGTATACTGTTTTTTTTTTTTATCTCCAGAAGATGTTACGCTGAAATGACACCGATTCGACCACTGGTGGCATTTAGCGCGTCAGCAGCGAAGGGGAAAATCTGGTCTTGCGCTGAGCAGCTTTTCCAGCCAACGCAGCTGCTGTTCTTACTGTACATTTGATCAGAGCTCTTCCGGGTCGGTTCTAGGTGACGAGGAAAACCACGTTGCATTGCAATAGAATGTACCCCA